TAATATACATTGATTCCTCACAAATTATACGTATGTTTATTTGTAATAATAGTATTACATCATCATAGGATGTTCTCAAAAAATATAAAACCAATATACTTTTATACAAAAAAATATTACTTTTTGAGTAAACAATATAGCGGTCCCACAGACCGCACGTCGCAGACGGCGTGACAAAAAAATCACGTCGTCGGTTAAAGGTTAAAGAAGAGGTGTAAACTAAAAATTAAAAACTTAAATCGATGTAATTTTTCGAGAAATGGGTGAAGCCCCTTTGAAGTATTTTTATCGATAAAATTGACCCTAGATTTTGCCCTTAACCCTATACATGGCAAAGACGGTTTTGGTTAATATTTGTGATTTACACTATGAATATTGGATTTAGGACGAGTAAAAATCATGTAAAAAATACGAAAAAAAATCTTAGGTATGTAGTTTTGGAATTATAGTATGTATCTTTAAGTGCACATTGCCAGCTTTGTAGTAAACTAAAAAATGGTTTAATTGTTAGTAAAAATTAGTTATTTAAATGAAAATTACTACAAAACCTTAAGCTATTCCTTATTTGAGAAATAAAAAATAAGTATATTTTACAAGAAACTGAAAACAAAGTAAAAAACCCACTTCAAAGTCTGTAACGCCTTGCAAGTATAGCTGCATTTGGATGTATGAGAACCACTCCATCAGCGTCGTTGGAGTATCTCCTGAACCTCACACCCTTCTTACCATCCAGGAGAAGCAAATGCAGATAGGACACATAGGAATCCTGCAAGAGCATTAAAAAAATACGAGGGGTATTGATGCCAACTGGTACCGAACTGTGTTCACGTCTTCGATTGAAGATAATTTGATACCCAACTTACAGTGGAAACGCAAGATAGCAGAAATGGATCCCTGGAACTCTCTGGGAAACTATGCAGCAGTCGAACTGGCTGAAATTCTTCAATCACCAGCTTTATAACCAGAAGCATGCAGCAGCCTGCATAGGCTGCTCGCTTTTTGGGGGTGATCTGGGTTGTTTGGAGTAGGAAGATAACCACCCAAGAGAATCAGGAGGCTAAGTGTGGCTTCTGATTCATCAGCTGAAGTGTCACCGCCACTAACTTTCGACCTGGTTCCAGATTTTGGAACCAGAACCAGCATTTTGCGCGCCTGATTTTGTTGCTGAAGCACAAAGTTGTCCAAAAAACAACATTCTTTATAACATGAATTAAAACTCACATCGGCATATAATTTACAGCTTTAAATATTACTAACTAATAACATGATCCCTTTTTTATGCGATAAAATCTATGAAAAAAATCATAAAATAAAGTCAACGAGAACCTGGCAATGTGTCTTTAAGGATACNAGTGTTTATTATTTAATAAAAAATATTATTACTTCTATTATTGTTTGGCTGCCATACATTTAGTATGGAGGCTGAAAACATTAATTTTTTGGATAGATCCAGTTAATTCTGTAACCTAATATTGGTACCGTTGGATAGAGCTTGTAAAGCACTTTCAGGATTAGTAACCAGTTTTTCGATATCTTGTAAAGTTTAGATATAATCGAATGAGATCACTTATCGTTTCCACCCTGTATGCACATTAGCGGAAGAATGGTGGGGTACATCTTCGTGGATGAAACGATCTGTAAATGTTGTTGTAAGAATTTCAGTAGGCCAATAATAACCCTTCCCATCCTTACACTCTATGAAGACACACTCAGCATTATAATAAAATTTTAATCGTGTTTTTCTCCCAATTCCAGTACTTGGACTTCGACAATCTACCCGAGACGAATTTCACATGCGCGGGCAAGGTGATCGGCGGGTACTACGCCGACCTGGAGACGTCCTGCCAGATGTTCCACGTGTGCACCGTCGGCCAGCAGGACGAGCCCATGGATATCAAGTTCCTTTGTCTCAATGGCACTGTGTTTGACCAGGTACGGCCTCAGAAAAGTATATTAAGTGGTGCTATTTGGGGATTTTAATTCAGTCAAAAATCTGACCTTAGTCCAGATAGCTTAATCAAAAGCATTCATTACGCTATCTGGATCAGCTGTATGTCGTAAGGTTTTGAATTGCGTATTTAATTTGATATAATGTACGAGTAGATGACGATATCTTTCACATTCTTCTGTGATGTTACTAAAACCACAGAATAATAATAAGTCTAAAACTCTATAGCAGGTAGCTTTTATAATTTTGTTAAATTATGCTATCATTTATATTCATCCAACTTAATTATGTATTCGCTTACTAATGAGATATTTTCATGATTTCAGGAGACCAGAGTATGTGAAAGGGTAGATGAAGTAGATTGTACAAAGTCTGAAAAGTTTTACAGTTTAAATTTAGAATTATATGGTAGCACTGCACCTCCTATTATACAACCAGAACAAAATAAACCTCAAGCTGAACCAACAGAACAATCGCAACAACATGCTAAACCAAGCAGTGGAGAAGCTGATCCTTCGATAGACGAAACTCCTACTACAACTCAAGATAAAACACAGGGTCATTCCTCAGAAGTACCAGATTCTACAGAAGACCCTGTTCAAGAGTTCAAAAAAGATGAACAGCCATTCAACGGACAGCCCTCGCAACCACCTCTCCCGTTATCCGAACATGATGAATTAACTGAAGGTAATGCTATTGATCATAATTCTATTTATTAAAATAATAATTAAAAGTGAGTAATTTCTAAGTCTGTAAGGAAATCCTTAGTTAATAGTTGCTTGCAGCATTTTTGTAAACAAAATGTGTAATATTTAATCCCGTTTTAATTCTTATTTTCTTCCTCTTACAGAATATCAAGATGAAGACGAAGAAAATACCGAATACGAAGAAGATTACTCCCATTCCCAAAGCTCTACAAGTTCAGTAGCTCCGACCACGACAACTATAGCAACGACCACCACAACGAAACCACCGCCGAGTTCCGCAATACCGCCGCCGCCACCTTCTATCAACCCGTCGCCGCTGCCCCAACTAATATCGTCACCATCACCAGCAGTATCGTCACATTCCCCATCGTCCTATCCCTCACTGGCACCATCGGCTTCACCAGGGCCAACGCTAGACCCATCCCTGCTGTCTCCACAAGAATTTATTTATCGACATCAAGGACCAGGATCTGAAGCGATATCATTCCAACGAAATAGTTTTCGACCGGCAGATGGAGTTTACATCACACATGCCCCACCACAACAATTTGATCACTTCCAATATGAGTCATCACGAACTGCACCGCGACCGGCGGCAGCCAGGCCTGCTGCTTTTGTACAACGACCGCAGCCAGCACCTTTTCGACCGACGACGCTTGATCCTAGAGACCAGTTATTAAGACCTGGCCCCACATTCCAGTCATCTGAGAGACATGAGACGGCGGTTAAGCATAATAAACAACCATATCCATCACCTCTGCCAGCTCAACGCCCGTTGCCATTCAATCCTTACTACTATGATCGGAAAAGAAGTGATGATTCTTCCCCTGAAGATAAATCTTCGCTTTCAGCTCGATCAGTGCCACCACCGATCGTAACCGAACGACCTCCGACTAAACCAAAAAGTCCCCCGCGAGTTATCGTCACTGCAAGTGCCTCCGTCAGCGATAGTAATGGAAAGAGACTAAATTACACTGTCGGCAATGTCGTCAGTGCGGTGAAACCTATAGTGCCTATAAACTATGACGACTATAAAGAATCTGATCTAATATTCGACCCATTCTTTCTCGATGTGCCAAAACTGCAAACTCGACGTAAAACTAGATCTAATAGCAAAAGTAAAGTGTTCACAGTCCCCGCTACCGCTACCGTGTCTTCGGAGACAACTTCGGCAAAATCTGCTGTAACAACATCGCCTGTTACATCACGAGCGACCACGACGGAAAGATCTACTTCAACCACTACTCCAACGACAACGACTGCATGGAACCCGAACGATTATGTCGACGATAATTACGAGCCGCACGCTTACGTACCGCCAGTGCCTCCATTAGCAATATTAGTGCCGCACGATCGCAATAAATACAGGAAACAAGATAGGCAATCGATCAACGACCTAGTCGAGGAAAACTCTCGTCAGGAAAAGTCGAAAGTTGGTCGTGCGGAGCAGCAGTCTAGGCCGACGTCAACGTCTGCAGCGCAGACAAGCTCTAGTCAAAATGTGGGGACGGAGTCGGTGGCGCCGCCCGCCGCCGCGCCGCCCCCGCCGGCGCCGCTCCCGGCGCCCGCCTGCGCCACCTCGCGCTCCACTGACTGTCGGACTCGTGCCTAAAATTAGCTCATTTTATACATAGATAGTTCCATAATTAGATAGGTAGTGAATTTTAACAATTTTACGAGAGAGGTAGCATCGAAACTGTTTCGCGCAAAACACTGGAACTTCCGTGAAACATTTTAATGCAAGTGATTTGTACATTGATAACAGAATCGTTTACGCCTAGTATATTTATGTCTCAAATTAAGACCATTGTGTAAATATATATTTTTAATTAGAGATGTTTCTACCACTGTGTTTAAATGTTGTCATATTTTGTGTCTAGCGATATTTATGGATGTTTTTGTAAATATCTTGAATTAAACGTTTCTATACTGATTCGTATCCATTTATTTTAACTCGGACTTTATAGAGTCAAAAATAATATGTAACGCTGGATGCAAGCCGTTTCCAACCAGCCAATCTGGGAATCATTGGAGGAGGCCTATGCTTAGCAGTGGACGTCATGTCCTGTTGACGATGATAATAAAACATTTCCTCCAGGGTATGACCCGAATTCCACAAAGGCGGTGCAGAGCAGAGCGGAGTGGAGAAATGTTTAGAATACTTATTCAATCAGATTTAATTGTTTCCCTTTTATTTCCACATCTCCTCTCCGCTACGCTCTCATAGAGATTTTAATTCACCAAGCAACCAACCGATCTCTTTCTTAAAATCACGTAAACATTGCACATTTATGTCTTGGCTATCGCAATGACATTTTTTAAATCAAACCAAACGCCAACTCGATTGTGTGCAAAATATTATTTCATTTATAATAATTTATTATTAATTTCTAGTAAACTTATAATTTGCGATACAAAATGACGGACGCTTCAAGCATTATGAGCATTAGGGAGTTAATAGATACAGCATTTGGCGATGCCAACGTAAGCTGCATTTTCATCTTATTTCCTTTATTAATTCAAATTCAAATTATTATTAAGTCCTTTGTTTACGTATCTATTCATGTACTTATCTTGTAAATACTTAATTATAATACTGTAATACAAAAGAATTGATATTACAGGTGAACATAGTGAATCACAAGCTCATACAAACTATACTTGTAATTCTGGCACGTCAACTTCGGCTGTTGGAGAGGCGCGTTGAAGTTGAAATACCTGCAGTGGAATACTCTTCAGGAACAAGCCTTTCGGTGACCGAAGTCAAACTACAAGCAAATGTACCCCGTAAGAAAAAAGGCAAAGGAGCTGCCACTAGTGCCACATTCGCTGGAGCCACCAGTTCAACCACTGCCGCTGGCCAAAAAGGCTTAAGGCCAGGCCAATCTCAGTATAGGCCAGGCATGCAAGAAGTTGCATCTAAAGCATCGGCAATGTCATATGATAAAACATCATCTTCGGGGACAAAATCTACAACTGATAGGTCAAAATCAACCTCAGACAAAACTAGCACGGAGAAATCTTCATCTGGTTTCACGTCATCTGCTACAAAATCAACGACTGACAAGTCCAGCTCAGACAGAACTAGTTCCCTTAAAACTAGCTCAGACAAAACCAGTTCAGATAAAACATCAACCGAGAAAACATCATCTAGTAAAACGCAATCTGAAACCGAAGTAACAAAATCATCATCGGAGAAAAAAACTACGTCAGATGAAACAACAACACTTAAAACATCTTCCGGTACTAAATCTACAACTGGACCCTCTTCTACTGACAAAACATCAGGAGAGAAAACATCGACTGAGAAATCATCAACGGATAAAACGTCTACAGAAAAAACTTCAACTGACAAAACATCCTCTTCAGATAAGGTATGAATTGTTAATTATTATTAGTCTCTGTATCTACACTCGACAGCAAATAAATCGCACCACACCCGCGACAAGCACTTTCAAACGTATGCATCCCCACTTCACACCAATATTGGTACCATTCAAAAGCCTAGTTCTAAACTTCATTTCATTATAGGAAAGGTTTTTACCCCAAAAATGTTTCTTTAGAAGGATCCAGAGTCACTTCTTCAAAAAATAGATAGTTACGCTTGAGCCAACTTTTATGGCTATAAAACTGTTAAGTTGGGATTAATCGCTATCCATCTGTTAAAGAGGACACGTGTGATCATTATTTGGTTTTATAACCATAAAATTTGGTCTAGTTGATCCCAGAGGTGAGCCCAAAGTGAGGTCTTTTTTCAAGTCACATTTATGGTATAAATGTTAATCATTTATTAAGAAATTAAATATGTTTTTCTTTAAGGATATTTATTGGGCTTTCAAATAACACCAATATTGTTGGGGCACCATTATTGTGTCAAAAGAAAATCTTTAAAGTTCGCGTCGCGAGTGGTGCGATTTATTTGCTGTCGAGTGTAGTTCTGGTCACAAGTTTTATTCTTTTCACTATCTTAACTTGTAGTCTGGTTCAGCCTTTACCACAGGATTACCAGAAGCGGCTGGAAAAAATCGAAGAACAGAGGGAACGAGAGCTGCGAATTATCCATCAGGTGCAGTTCAGAAAGCGATAGTGATTTGTTTTTTCTTGTTTTTTGCCGTTTCAGCTTTTTGTTTACAACAGTGCAGACGGTGATTTATTTTTAATTTTGTATTAATTTATATTCTGGTAAGTGACTTTAGTCCTTAAATTGACATGGCCTTTACTAATATTGCCTAATGAGTAGGTTAGTAGGTATGTATGGTGGGATAAGTTAATACCTATTTACTATTACCATTTCCTATATCTAATACCTACGCTACGAATAGTTCTGTTCATGGTCAGTGGCGTAGCTTGGGGGGGGCAGGGGGGGCCATGGCCCCGGGCGGCATATGAAAGGGGGCGGCGGATAAGAAAAAAAAACATTGCATGAACAAGAAAAAAAAAAGTTACTCCAAATCGCGTCGTAATATGTTACGTACCGATAAAGCGAAACGAAACGCACAAGTGTGCGCAAGAGAAGACGATAACCGCTTGGTCGGCGCGCGACGAGCTCTACAATATGCTAAAAGTTTATGTGAAGAGCTTGGAATTTCAGTAGAACCCCCAAGACAAATCAAGAGAAAGCATCTTTTCGGCGATGGATTTTTAGACGTTGGGTTATCGTACGAGAATGAACTCAGGCGAACAATGTTCAATTCAATAGACAGAGTAACTGCTGAAATTCGTGATCGATTCCAACAGCTGCAAAATCTAGCGCAAAAGTATTTCTTTTTAATGCCGGCAGTAATGCTGGGCTCAGAAAAACTTAATCTAGATCAAGCTCCTCGAGACATAAATACAGATGAGTTCCAACATGAGCGCGCACGTCTACGAGCGTTCGTAGCTGCAACAAATCCAGACTGTAAAAAAGAGCTTATGAAGTCCGGCTCTCTGGGATTATTAAAATATATTATTGACTCCAAACTTGAAGATGACTGGATGATTGATCCAACGATCATAGCAAATGTTGTGATAGGGATAGAGACATGCGATTTTTGGTTTTACAAAGATAATACGATAGAAAATAATACAAAGTAATAAAAACCACCTGTTATAGGGGCATTTTTTGGAGAAATTTATCAAATAACCAAAAAAACACGAATTTTAAAGCAGATTTTTTTCAAAAAGTATCATTTTTTATTATTTGTTGGCATTTTTTATGTATTTTTTTAGTATCGCCTATTATTTAGCATTATTACTGTTTTTATTTTATCAGGATATACCGCTTAGTTTAAAAGTTATTACGTTTTCTTAAAATAAGTAATTCGAAGAAAAAAAAAATTCTAATAAAAAATAAAAAAAATCTCAAAAAAAATTTGACCTCTTTTTTGTCGATAAAAATATGTCTAGTTTAATCTATTTTCATATGTACACTTTAACGTGACTCACTGTATATAATTTAAGATAATATTTACTCTCAATTGACAAATAAATACTTTAATACTTGTTATTATTGTTTATTGTTATACACCTAGTGTTACATAATAAAGCTGAGCTATTTAAGAAAATCAAACTTCCTGTGGGTTTCAAGCAATAGGGATGTTTCCTGGGTCAAAAAGCAAGAGTTTTAATTAGTCCGTCAGTTAACTTATCAAAAAATACTCTACACGTATTTTTCACTTTTTCAAACTAATGAAAATTTAAAGAGATAAAGCGCGCCAAAGTTCATAAGAAGAGGCCCGTGACGTCAATGCGTGCATAAAAGTGCCGCACGTTGCGACGTCGTGCGGAACTTCAACGCACCATAACTATGTAATTATTTGTTAGATTGACAAATAAAAATATATGTGTCCAATATTTTTTAATATTAAACATGAAGGACTAAAAAAATTTTTTTAGGAAACTAGCCTATTGCTTCTGAAGCAGTGCGTGGTAGTTTATTTTGACTTTCAACAAATAAGGTGAATAGTGTACCTAAAGTCCATTCAATATAATATTTAAACTTTAAAATATTTATAATTAAAATAAAGGGCGGCGGATTTCCGGACGGCCCCGGGCGGCAAAAAGCCACGCTACGCCACTGTTCATGGTGGTTCTAAAATGAACTCATTTGTTGTCTATTTCTTGTTACCAGACTATCTCTGAATTAGTCACTAACTTGTATCACTATGAGAGAGCCACCTGACTAATAAAAAATACTTTTTAGAGAGCCGATTCACGAGAAGAGCAGGAAAAAACGCCTACTCCGATGGCTTCCTTAGAATCAATGGGTACGAGTTGACTTGTCATTCTTTCTTATCAATTTATTAACAAAAAAATATTGCCTTTATTTTGTTTAAGAACATTGTAGCGAGCGTTTTCAGCATAGTTAATGAAAAAGGATTCCTCATTATTGCCCAATACTAAGCTGTAATTTTTTCGTTGATTACAGAGAAACAGTATGAAAAATTGTTAATTGGTTAGTACTTAGCACTTTGTTTCTTAGGATAAATTATTTATATTTTAGAAACGTGTAATTATTAGAGTACACGTAAGACTATGGTACAATTTATTATTTATTAAATGTAACTTTTAAATACAGTGGAACGTGTACCATCAGACAAAATAAAAGCTGCAGAAAGTGAGTTTAAACATTTCATTATTCATCAAATCTTAATTACTTCTTACTGAAAGAGGTCACAATCAATTCACCATGATTATGAAATCAGGTCGATCACAAGCTGGAGTTGGCGGAAAATCGAAGCCGTTATCTGTCGTGACTCAAGATGAATTTATGGAACTTGCTACAATAGTTCGCCAACTGCAAGACCGATACAAAATAGCAGGAGCTCCAAGCTTTCCCGAAAATGCAAAATTATTGAATGACTTACGCAAAGGTGCTTCACTAACTGACGCAATGGCCGCATTGCAACTTTCGGCTAGAGTAGAAGCTGCAGAAAAAACTTTGGAAAGACTGCTAGCAGTGGTAACTGAAATAGTCGTCAAAATTTATGTAGGGGGAGAGATAACAGGACCAATAGATGTTGAAGCTTTGATAAAGTTGGTATGTGTGAAAATGATATTTCTATTCGTAAATAATTTGAATACCTAGTACTCATTTGCTTATTGTTTATGTAATTTGAGTTTTATTTTTTAACAGAGCCAAGGACTTATTGCCCCAGAACAATTTGCAGAAGTCATAAATGAAATAAAAGAAATGGAAGAAACAGAAGAGCCGCCTCAAGCTGCTCCAGTCCCCGCTAAACGTAAATCTACTATGCCAAAAGAAGCTTTAGCCAAATCGAAAAAATCCATTGTATCCAAAGCAGAATCAAAAGAATCGGTAGCGGTATTATCTATGATGGATACAAAACTACCGTCAGAAACTGAAGTAACTGCTGAAACAGCACAAGAACCTGCTGCGCCAGAAGAAGAATCAAAAGAAAAAACTGACTCTGTGACTTACGAAGAACTAGAGTAAGATTTTATTTCAACAGAAGGGTTTTGCTGAATATATTTATGTAGGATTGTAATATCTATGGCGTAAATACTCCATTGTCTTAAACTCTTTGGATGTACGAACGAGTGTGAGCGAGACGAATGTACGGAGAGTGAGTGAGAAGGAAGGAAAAGGAGTCATGGCGGCAAGACGGTTATGAGTAAAGTGTGGCTCTGTATTTTATTAAAGAAGAATAAACATATTGTTGGAAGAAACTGATTTTCCTTGCGAAGCCCCGTCTCTACATTTATTATCATTCTAATGATACTAATTTATATTTCAGTAATGCACTGCAAGAATTGTATGATGAATGTTTGAAAATGGTTACTACTTCGACAAATCGCAGTAACACGAATGCTAACAATGCAATAAAAATTGCTAATAGATTAGGTTTGTAACACATAAATGCTTTGTTACCCATATAATAAAGTGTTTAAGTGTGTATTTAATATTACAATATTTCTGAGTAGAAGGAAGATTGGAAGACTCTCTGAACCTAGGAGATCGAATGTTTGACTTGGAAAAACTAGTCTCGGAGTATGCTGATCAGATAAATACCCTTGACACTGGCTTGTCGTCACAGGTAAAATATTTTTAAGTGTATTTATCTAAATAAAAAGATACATTGACCGACTCTAAGTTTAAATTTAACAGATGACTAACTATCAAGAACAATTAACACAAATGCAACACGATCTTGAATCTGGATTAGAAGCCATGGCAGAAGCTTTAGCAAACACAGGAGGAGATACGGCAGGTAAAAGAATCATTACTGATATCTAAGAAAACTGGAAGCTAGATTGCAGCCATACGCCTGCCGTAAAACTACGCTGTATTTATTGCGGGTTTTTATAGATTGACTAGGATCATTATTAGAGTGAATCTTGTAGGTAAGAAGTACTTGTAGTAGAGCATATTCATTTACAATTATTTTTGATTCAGCTGTTGCTGAATTGAACAACCACTTCACAAATCTACAAACGGATCTCGACACTGCTGCATCAAGACAAAAAGAGCTTAGAGATATACAAAACGCTCTATCATTGGATCTTCAGGTATCCCCAATTTCCGTATGCACGAGAAGATTATTTTTATAAACTCCTACCTAAACTTCATCACTTAAATACTTTCAACAGTCTCTGTGGAAACAAATAGAAATACTACGAGATACCAAATCGGATCGAGATGAAGTGGCAGATGCACTGCGCGATAAAGCTGGTCTTGGTGCTCTAAATGGATTGGTGTCTCGTCAAGAATTTGACGCAGTACGAGGAGATTTTGAAAAACGCATTGGATCAGCTTACGATAAGTTTAACAATCAAGAGATTGTTTGGCAAGTTAGTTCTTTTTTAATAAATAAAGTTACCCTATTAATAGGTGTTCAAGATGAATTTAAGTATACCTATTGTATGGCAGTTTTCATACAGTGATTTTATATTTCAGAAAGCAATAGATGATCTAATAAGAGAGCTGAACGAGAAAGCAGACTGGATACAAGTGGTTTCTTTGCAAGGTAGCATCAATAAGTACCTTGAAAAGTTTCGAAACAAGATTCGTGAAATGGAAGAGGTTGTGGGTGAACCTCGCGCTGCCACTGTTTCGAGAAAACTACACCGCGACGCTGAATGCTTATCTTGCGCCACTGCTGCGCATATGGATATAGAAGAACCCAACAAGTTGCCATTAATGCCCGGTTTTCCATCTTCACGACCACCGGCTATTGGTGCGGAAGCCAAAACTAAGCCGTCTGAAGATGGGGATCATAGAGGCGTTTGTTATCCTGGCATGCCAGTACCTCATGCTATAGATCCAAGGTTATTATTGTCTGTGCTAGTTTAGGATTAAATCTTCCCTTAGAACCAATTTTAGCTACAAGATTGTTAAAATATTTTCCGTTAAATGCTGTATACTGATGTCTTGCGCAATTTTCACAGAGCCCATGTCTGTCATCGATACTGTGGCGGTTCTCACACGTTAATAAATAATACATTAAGCCGCGCCCCAGCAGGCATGATAATAAACCCGGCCCTGCGAGAAGTCAGCACCGCAGTTGGGACTGATGGAAGGGTAAAAGCGACATTAATAATTTGATTCGTCGACTTTTATCTGAGCATTAATCTAGACACGCGGCAGCATGTCAAGCCAAGTTCAAGCAAAGGAACTGGCTAGCCAGCGCCAAGTGTAATGTTACACGAACCATTTGGTGCCACTTTTGACCGTTATTATCTTATCAGGAGATTTAAGAGCCTGATGCCTTAATGTGTTTATTTATAAATTGTTTTATAACAAATGCGCCTATCATAAAAAATCTGCGTACCTACCTGAGTCTAGATACTTCAAACTCTACCTTTATTTATCGTATTGTAGCCTGAACCACGTAGGCGTAATTTAACTTAAACTTATTCCTACTTATTCACTTTCAGCTGTACATGGTTGATGGAGATAATGTGAAGAAGCCTTGTCTGCCATGCAACTATAAGAAAACTTTCACAACTCCAGAGCCTTCGGAAGCTGAACCAGGTAAAGGTCGCCACCGGCATAATTTACATATACATTTTTGTGGCTACGATCCTTAAAAAGTGTAGTGCTTGTGTCTGCAAGTACCTACTTAGTCATTGAATAAACTTCCGTCTCATTTTAGCTCCAATGGTGATGCATGACGATTTTGGATCTGATATGACGCCGCAGGACTATCGACAACAATCAATGCAAGCCACTGGCGGATCGGATATCGTCTCCGTAACTCCACCGCCGCCGATGGACGATGACTGAGGCTTTACTTTATTAATCATATTTTATTAACTTTAATAATAATTAAATTTCTTGTTTCTTTTCTTAAATACTCATACTCATTTACAAAACTCGTTCTCTAAAAGTTATACACTGGACAACCTGCGCCTTCCTTCCACTCCCAAGCTAAGCAAAGCATAGTAGGTACTATGTACCTACCTACTAAACAACTAATGTAAACAAAGGTACTAATATAAGGTACTTTTGTGGTAAATTACATAGGTAACATAATTTATTACACATAAAGAATAGGTACCCAATAATGTTGTGCGGGAATCGAACCCGTGACCTCTGACTCTAAAGAAGAAGAGAAGCTAGAGATTTTTTTAAGATCATTCATCCATTAATCGGCAATCCATTATCACCTTTATTTTTTTTTAAATCGAATTCTAAGTTGAGTTTTTTATCGTGGTTTGTACTTTTGTTTTTTGACTAAATAGGTACATATTCGATATTAATATCAAATAAAAAAAGCGGTTGAAAACACGCGAGAAAAAAAATTGAAGCAGTTTTCAGGTCAAAGGAAAGACAGTGCCAATTCATGTATGGAAGTTTGACCAAATGCTGCCCAGAATGAAACTATTAGTGCATTTTGTTCCTCAGGCCAATACTAATGTGTAACCGGAGCGCACTGAAATCTATCCCTGGAGTTAAGAGAAAAAAAGTTTTGTTTTAAGTTATTTTACATATCATCGATATACATAATTATACGTACTACGCATAAGATTTCGCGATTGTGGCATTAAATAACACTCGATATGTTGAACTTAACCATACTGGGCCCCGATTACGCTAATTTTTAACGTCTCCAATACAGACGCGCTTCTTCGATTCTGCGATCGATTGGTAAAAACAGCTGACGTCAGCTGTTTTTAAACCCGTACCGTACCATATAAATCCGTATCGCAGAATCGAAGAAGCGTGTCTGTATTGGAGACGTTAAAAATTAGCGTAATCGGGGCACTGCATCCGTACACCTTACTTTAGTGCGACGAGCAGCTGGACAAGCTGAAGGTAAGAAGACCAGAATCATGCACAAGCAGCTGGACAAGCTGAAGGTGAGAAGACAAGTCATGCACAAGCAGCTGGACAAGCTAAAGCAAAATTGACAATAACCATGCACTAGAAGCTGAACAAGCTGAAGGTGAGAAGACAAATCATGCACAAGCAGCTGGACAAGCTAAGGCAAAATTGACAATAACCATGCACTAGAAGCTGGACAAGCTGAAGGTGAGAAGACCAGAATCATGCACAAGCAGCTGGACAAGCTAAGGCAAAATTGACAATAACCATGCACTAGAAGCTGGACAAGCTGAAGGTGAGTAGACAAGAATCATGCACAAGCAGCTGGACAAGCTAAGGCGAAATTGACAATAACCATGCACTAGAAGCTGGACAAGCTGAAGGTGAGAAGACAAATCATGCACAAGCAGCTGGACAAGCTAAGGCGAAATTGACAATAACCATGCACTAGAAGCTGGACAAGCTGAAGGTGAGAAGACAAATCATGCACAAGCAGCTGGACAAGCTAAGGCGAAATTGACAATAACCATGCACTAGAAGCTGGACAAGCTGAAGGTGAGAAGACAAATCATGCACAAGCAGCTGGACAAGCTAAGGCGAAATTGACAATAACCATGCACTAGAAGCTGGACAAGCTGAAGGTGAGAAGACAAATAATGCACAAGCAGCTGGACAAGCTAAAGGTGAGAAGACAAGTCATGCACAAGCAACTGGACAAGCTAAGGCAAAATTGACAATAATCATGCACTAGAAGCTGGACAAGGTGAAGGTGAGAAGACCAGAATCATGCACAAGCAGCTGGACAATAAGCTAGGCAAAATTGACAATAACCATGCACTAGAAGCTGGACAAGCTGAAGGTGAGTTGACAAGAACCATGCACAAGCAGCTGGACAAGCTGAGGTGAGTTTGACAATAACCATGCACTAGAATCTGGACAAGCTGAAGGTGAGAAGACAAATCATGCACAAGCAGCTGGACAAGCTGAAGGAGAGAAGAGAAAATTCGAGCCATGCACTAGCAGCTGGACAAGCTGAAGGTGAGATGATAAAAATAAGAACAATGCACAAATAGCTGGACAAGTTGAAGGTAAGAAGACAAAATTAATGCACAAGCAGCTGGACAAGCGTAAGGTAAGTTGACACCATTCACAAGCAGCTGGACAAGATGAAGGTTGGAAGACAAGAGCCATGCACAAGCAGCTGGACAAGCTAAAGGTGAGAAATTATTAAAACAGCGCAGCGCTAAATCGGTTAAAGAATGTCTAAATCGCACTAAAGTAACGTGTACGAATACAGTACGGTTAAGTTCAACATAGCGAGTGTTATTTAATGCCACAATCGCGAAATCTTATGCGTAGTATATACAGGTTGGAATTTTGTAATGCCACCTGGAGGGAAAGTACTCTTAATACTGTAGATAGAACATTTTACTCAAAGAAAACATTCCCTTATTTTTTAAAAGAAATATAACCGCATTCAAAGATTTTCAAAAATTTGCTTGCCATACCCAGGAATCAAACCAACTAAAATCCGTTAAAAATTACACCCCTGTATTTTTACAAGCTATAAATTGACTTCACTTGTTAGTATGTGTGGGACAAATCTTGCAACTGAATTTAAGACCAGTTCTCCTCAACCGATTGAGCTGAAATTTGGTATACTTATGTAAGTACGATGACAATGCAATATTATGGTACCATTGAGCTGGTCTGATGATGGAGTCGGGAGGTGGCCATAGGAACTCCTAAACAAAACGGCGGAAACTCATCGAGTTTGGGTTCGTTGGATTTGTCTTTTCGAGCACTTTAGTGTTAGATAATGTCCAGGGTCCTGAGATTAAGATATAACTAAAAAAAAGTGTAAAATAAAATTATAATAAAAATAAGGGTTCGGACAATATTTTCATTGAATAATGTTTCCGACAAAGGTTGTTTAATTGACTGACATGTTTGTTTATCGTATAGTACAGTCCACTATGAAAATTAGCTGTGGTTTGTTTCAACTACCTATTTTAAAGTTTTTTGTCACTTTCTAAGTGTTGAATTTTATGGAATGGGAAAAGAAGTACCGAGTTTGAAGCGTTCATGAGCAGACATTGCAGTTGAATATTCAAGTTCTGAATTTGATTATTGACGAATAATAAAATAAATCCTACTAACTCGATTGATGGTTTCATTTAATTTATTTAAACCAGGTTACCTATAATAATATTTTTTCGTTAATTTATGAAAATATCAAATTAGCCCGTAATCCAGAATCCTGATACATAAAGTTAGCCTATTAATTTAACACAGGTACGACTGTACTCAGTGTTGCACTATCAGACGCGCCTCTTCGCCAGGGTTTTTATGTTCCTGGTCAGGCTATAAAGAAAAAGTCACTTAGGGTCAAATGGGCGAACTTGTAGTAACCTTACCTATACCATTAAGTATTCTGTGCCTGTACATCCACGAAGTTTGTCTAATTTTCCGCCAAACACCTTGTTTAAAAAACTCGCGTTGTCTACAGACTACGCCCGTCAAAATCAACTGGTATGGTATTTTTATATTACATTCAAAGTGCCTTCGTTTTGCCGAACTTGCAAATGATTGGACGGACACAATCTTAAGACGCAATGCAGTTGAGGAATCGATTCCAGTTGTGTAATGGCCAAGTTGTAGGCCAAGTCACGTTTCAGAACCGACCGAGTTTAGCAAGTTACGGAACATGTCTACTGTCAACAAACGTCAAAATCAAACAAATGTCAATTCTGACGTTAGCTGTCAATGGAAGGAACGGATGGATTGCAAAGGAAGTAATTTGGTGTGTGTAAATGAAAGTAAATATTGAGAAATAAAAGTATGTAACATCTTAATATTACTGAGCTTTCAAAGAAAACAATTCACTGTCTGAATTATTTGTTTTATGCACATTGTGTCTTATGTTCATAACTTACGAAAACTAACCTACACTGTACGTGTCCACAGGGCGATAAAGCAAAGTGAAAATGCACAAACTGCTCGAATTCCAAGCTGTGGTGCTTGCAGCTGGCAGAGGATCGCGAATGCCAGATGTAGGTGGAGAAGTATCGAAATGCCTCTTACCTGTGGGACCATATCCAGTCTTGTGGTATTCCCTGAATATGCTTGAGAGGATTGGCTTTCAGGGTAAGCTTAAAACCTTTCAATAACATTAATAGCACATTCCCTATGTTATAATTTAGCATTTGACCTTACAGGAACTTATTACACAACTTTTCTTTATATGACACGGCCCTCTCTATATTTTTGGAATACAAATCTTACCTTTCCCTAAACACCTATAAAAACTAATTATCAATCTGTAATAATAATTGTAATATACCCAATTGTAAACATCGTTAAGTACCTACTTAAAATTGTGATAAAATAAAATGTGTTAATTTCTAATTTTCAGAAACAATGGTGGTAGTGCTTGATGAAGATAAATCAAATATTTTGAATGCATTAGAAAGATGCCCTCTTAAAATCAAACATGATCTAATAGTCATTCCATCGGAAGAAGACTGGGGCACAGCCAATTCCCTCAAACACATCAGCAGCCGAGTCACTACTGATCTTCTGGTAGTCTCTGGAGATCTGATATCAAGTATCAACCTCAATGAAGTACTGAATTTGTACAGAAAACATGATGCAGCACTCACTACTTTGTTCTTCAATAACGGCCCTGAAGAATGGATAGAGTTGCCCGGACTCAAGTCAAAAACAAAACCTGACAAGGACCTGGTTTGCATAGATAAAGAAACTCAAAGACTTGTCTTCCTAGCTAGTGCCAGTGACTTCGAAGAAAATGTTACAGTACCAAGACTGCTTGTAAAGAAGTTTGACTCAATTAGTATGTACAGTAGACTCTTAGATGCCCATGTTTATGTCATGAAAAAGTGGGTGCTCAATTACCTTGTAGAAACAGATAAATTTACATCTGTCAAAGGAGAACTCGTGCCCCATATAATAAAGAAGCAGCTCTCAAAACCTAAAAACCCAGCAGAGAAGAAGGGCACTTCAGAGAAAAATGTAGATATCACTAAAGAAATCTTTGATTTTGCCACAGAAAGTGGGTACGAATCTAAGATCAGGGAAATGTCTTCGTACAATGATCATAAGCTTGGAACTAAAGGAGTTTACTATAATGATTTAATCAGATGCTATGCTCACATACCTGATAAAAATACTTTTGGCATGAGAGTGAACACTCTTTCTTCATTCTATTTGTGTAATAGCAAGGTAATTTTTGCAATTTTTTTGTTGTTGTTCAATAAGGTTGTAAATGTAAGCTCCCTTGATCTTTTTAACAACAATTAAATACTCCAGTATTTATAGAGGAAGACTATGTCTCATGTAAAATGTTTGCCCAGGTGTGAGTGAGCTAAGTTATTTCTTTATAATATACAGGTAAATGTGAATATGTAAGTGGTTCCTTCACCTTGCAGCATAGTTCACACATTTTTATAGAATATGTAAGACAGCAGTCCTATAAACTTAAACCAAGTTTTGGTAACACTTCAAAGTCAAAGTAAACATTTCTTTATTTTGTATAGACATAGTATTGACAAATTACAAATCGTAAAATATTTTGCTCATGAAGCCTCTACATGTCTCATAATCTTTTTACCCTACCAGTGCTTCTAGACCAACATTTGGCAAGTGCTGAGAAGAAGCGCTGCAACAAACTCAGTCCCAAATGAATTAAGTTATAATCATTTGTGTTTAGTTTAAGTTCTTAGTTCAAATGATAAAGAAGAAGCTATGTAAATAAAGCTATAATTGTGTCTTTCTTTCAGATATGGTCAAAATGGGAAGAAATAACTGGGGCACCCCTTGTCGATAGATTCCATCCGAATAGTGAAGTGAAAACTAAACAAATAGATGAAACAAGTACTGTAGGAGAGAAGAGTGTAGTTAGTGAGAAAACCTCCATCAAGAATACATTTATTGGTGCCAATTGCACCATCGAAAATAAAGTCAGACTGACTAACTGCATTCTAATGAATAATGTTACAATTAAAGAAGGGTAAGCCTGTTTATCTGTTGAAATAATAAAGAAAGAATTTATTCACCTTTCAACAAAACAATATAATCATTTCTTCTAGTAAATATAAATTATAGTAAATCTGTTTAGTATAACACAAAGAGGTTTCTTGTATGATGATTGTTACAAAACATAATTATTATTATAATAATTTACCTAGAAGTTTATTTGCTAATACAATCGGAAAGGCCTTGTCGCCAATAAAAGTCAACACCGCACCAACCGCACCGACATCTTCAAAGCGCCTAAACTGCGTCGACAAAAATCTACTTTCAAATGTTCTGTATAATTTTTGCTATGTCTAATACGGGACTATTCCCACCTCTCGTTCACACCACTGCAACTCCTGTGTAGCCAGAATCTACAGCTTTTACCGGTAGTTGCTAATTGCTCATAAGATAGGCCCCCTTAATTCAATTAATTGTCCGTGGTGCATAATCAATCAATCAATGGTATTAAACCTTTGTTTGTCACCTGTCATCCGCTTTGCAATGGAGGGAAGTCGAACCTTAATTTCGAACTCCTCCTATGTTCTTCTGATTAATTTCGTTGCGGGTCCAATGACAGTTTAACTTTCTCCCGGGACAAACTTGACCTTCATTGGTTGGGTTTTTGTGGCGGTCAAGCTATGTCTAATAGCCAACTTTTTAGGTTTTTACTTCTAGAACATTAAACACATTGTCTTTTTTTTTCAGCTGCGTCCTCCAAGATAGCGTGATATACACCGGCGCAACCGTAGACACCGGTTGCTCCCTACAGCACTGCCTCGTCGGTCCCCACCACATAGTCGCCGCCTCCACCACTAGCAACCATCAGCTCCACGCGGAGACCACGGAAAATATGATAACACTCGGATAGTCGGACATGTAAATACTTGATTTAAATAATATATTTTATTACTCATCAACAGCCCTTTACAGTCCACTGCTGGACTATGAGCCTCCTCCACTATAGTGGAGGGTTTTGCCATAATCTCCACGCTTGGCAGGCGGGTTGGAGATCGCAGTTTAAAAGATTGATGTTTTTCAGAGAGCGCTGCTGCCCATTCTCTGTTTGATGTGTAGTCTCTAAGTCGCCTCTTACGACACCCGCGGGAAGAGTAGGGGTTGGTGACAAATGTATTCTACTCTGCCGTCACCACACGGCTTATTTTATTACTGCAAGCTCTCTTTGTCTTTTAGAAACTCCTACAACGATGTCAGGTGTAATCAGAGGGCAAAAGCTAAGCGTCCACATGTCGGTATCGTACGCATCGGACGTATCGCACGCAACGGATCGCAGTATTATTTATATGGAAACTCATACAAGTGCGTCCACCTGTCCGCATCGTTCGCATCGCACATCCGATACGATGCATCCGTTGCGTACGATACCGACAAGTGGACGCTTAGCTTTAGTGTGAGTTTACATTAAACGTCGTCACTAGTGACGCGTTAAAAAAAATACAAAAAATATATGAAGATTTTAGTTCTTGAAAGTTTCCGCTAGGGGCGCTGTATAATCCTTCATACATTTAATGTCACTTTTTTATGCAGTCGACATCGAATGCGTTTGACGTAAACTCACACTCACGCCCCCAGTTGGTAAAGTGATAGTCTTTAAATTAATTCATTTCCCTTGTTTACAGAGTACACAAGTGTTTAAACTATTAATTAGGATGTTTGCATGTATAGTGTAGGACTATAGCATGAATATAGTTATATCTCAAACTGATTTAAAATTTGAAAAAAATGGACTTGTTCAGGTGGAAATTGAACCCACGAACGCTGGCTTGCGGTGACTGCTCTGACCACCCAACTACAGCGATCAGTTAACCTGTCGAATGGTCCTTGGGTCGTGAAAGGTGGGTGCAATTTCTTCAAGTTACTCAATATTATATGAATTCGAGATACAGAATTGGTTCAAATATTGAAACTTGATCTATCACAGGCCTAAATCTAAATCCAATGCGAATCTAGTTTTGAGCTTAATTTCATAACACTACTCGCTACGAAACAAACAAAATAACCGCAAGTATNTAACGCCGCCATCTCTAGTTTTCCGTAGACCTCTCACGTGCAATTTCATTTCTTCGGGCTTAATTATTTTTTGCACTAGGGACTTGGTTTCCTCGCTTGACTTCATTTTATCATTCGGGTAAATCGCTACAGAACTGAAGTTTTTGGGCTGAATAAAATTGACAGGACTCTTTTTAACCATGTCAGCAAAGGAAAACGCTCCCGAGATAGGTTTTGAGGTCACTTCTATGCNTTATATGAATTCGAGATACAGAATTGGTTCAAATATTGAAACTTGATCTATCACAGGCCTAAATCTAAATCCAATGCGAATCTAGTTTTGAGCTTAATTTCATAACACTACTCGCTACGAAACAAACAAAATAACCGCAAGTATAACCAGCGTTGCGTAAGCTATAAAAAATAAATCATTTCGGTCGTTTATATGCAACACTGATCTGAGTGTTACTGATAAGTGTTCAACTCAAAACTTTAAACTTTAGTCACGCACATTGGAAGTACTTATTCATCATAAGTAGTATAATATAACGTCTTGTTACATAAGACCTAAAAATTTTACCGCCATTCATTCAGCGCTCGCGTGAACAAAGTAAAAAATCCATTGTTTCCCCTTTTTCTTTACGGACCTTATCTATGTCGAATTTGTTTTAGAAGATACATGGTACCTATTCCTATTAAAATGAGAAATTCGTTTTTTCAAGTGACACAGATACACAAAAATATTTTAAACTGTTGCACTTTTCTATAAAATTATCATTTCACGTTAATATCTAATTTACCGTTATAAAAGTTGTAAAATCCCGTGAAGTGATAATTTTACAGTACTAAAAGTTGAGTTATAAGGAAAAATAAGATGTGATATTAGTTTAGAGCTAACTACAAATATTGCCGTGTATGCCGTGTGGTGACGGCAGAGTAGAATACATTTGTCACCAACCCCTACTCTTCCCGCGGGTGTCGTAAGAGGCGACTTAGGGACCACACATCAAACAGAGAATGGGCAGCAGCGCTCTCTGAAAAACATCAATCTTTTAAACTGCGATCTCCAACCCGCCTGCCTAGCGTGGAGATTATGGCAAAACCCTCCACTATAGTGGAGGAGGCTCATAGTCCAGCAGTGGACTGTAAAGGGCTGTTGATGATGATGATGACAAATATTGCAGACCTTGACACCGACTTTTTAAGCTAATATTTAAGTCACACATAATACATGGCCTGCTCACCTGCTCAATAATATTCCATACCTAAGTACAATATCTATAAGAATATTGTATAGAAGTGTCAAGATAATAATTTAAATACAGGTCATCATCCTCACGTTTGACTCAATTGTCATGAAAAATATTTTTATTATAATGACTCTTGGACCCTTCTTAGTGATCATGGCCTGCGACCTCAGCTTTGAGAATCATCGTCATTTCAACTACAGGACGTCCACTGCTGAACATTGATGATTGATTCCCCCAATGATCTCCTTTTATGGCGAATGAAAACAAAATGTTTTTTCCTATTAAACTTTTCGACATGACTGTAATCAAAATAATGGTTCACGTCGTTAATCCTTACTTCTAGCTAACAATATCTAGAGCATTTGAATAAAAAATAAACATAATAATGTATGCAAACATATGCACACCCAAGTGAAGCAGTTTCGATAGAGGATTGCCTAACAGCAGATTGCGTGCAATGACAAACGATAGTGTGTTAGTACCAAAACATTTCGTCTACCCGCATTCCAAATCAATATTTGTTTTGTCTGTGTGTCGCAAGTCCTAACCATAGGTAGGTAAGAGGAAAAAGTTTTTAGTAATAGAAGAGGTAGGTATCGTTCATTTCAACCATTTGGTTCACTGCTGGACAGGCAAATGACGTTCACTGCTGGACAAATGCCCATTGTAGTAGGTATCTAGGTAATTTTCCAGAGGGGTGACTGTGGTGGTAATTGGCCCCTGACTTGCCATTGCCATGACCGAAGAGAGGAGAGGGGTCCCCCAGGTTGTTGTTACTTAAAAGATAAGTTATCTTTTAAGACCAACATCCTAAGGTGGGCACTACTTAGACCATTTTGGGCTGAGCACGGCCGACCCCCTGCTAAATACGCGCATGCAAAGGGCCGCTACCAATCGATCAACGTGGAAAGCATTAGGGGAGGCCTATGTTCAGCAGTGGACGTCCTATGGCTGAAATGATGATGATGATGATGAAGGGCCTCCCCCTAAGCCTATTTCCATAACAACCATTCTTACGCTGCCCGTATCAAGGTAATATGTACTTCCCGCGGATGGATTAAGTAGGTGTAGGAACCTAAAACCTATTATTCATCAATGTTAATTCAAGAACATTTTTTCAGTAATGGAATAGGTAGATATAGAAAACTGTTGTTAATCAGTTAATTCAAAAGAAAATATTTTCAGTAATGAATATGAAAAGTTAAATTCGTGGGATCTGTGTAAGTAGACACAGTTTTACACAACATTAGTCGCCATCGCAAAAGCTGCGAAGTTATAATCCAAGTCTAATTCTGAGAGAGATATGAAGACATGAACACAACTTAAAAGTAAATTAAGTTTCGCAACTAGAAATTGTGATGAATACCTACTTATAGTTAATCTGCGCAAGAGTGCAATGAAGTAATCTTGGAGTGTTGCTATTTTCTCTAAACACTATGAAGACATCCAACACAGCTTACGTACCTACCTAATCCCAGTAAAGTGCCAGAACTTTCATCATACCAAATCATATACTCACCACTATTAATCCTACTATAATATTATTATAAAAGCGAAAGGCTGTGAGTATTAATGATTGTTAGTCTTTCACGCAAAAACTACTGAACGGATTTTAATTAAACATACAGTATTGTTGTTTATACATCAGAATAATAAAAACCAAGTACCTAAAAAAAGACCCGATTTATTTTCTTTTTATTTGTTTTTATACAGAATAAGGACCGCAATAGTGGAACGCCTCACACTATCCACTTGAGAACAAAATTACCAACCATGGTTGTTCGACCAACTGCCTTACAAGACATGACATCATATGGGAAGTGGAGGGTTTAGTCATGCGAACATGAACCTAATTACTTATTAATGAGGGAGACATTCTCCGGACATTTCTCAAGTGTCTGTCGCAAACGCTTTCAATGGTTTAGAATGCGCTGGGTGATCTAAGGGTACCTAGGCGTTGCAGAGATTCCTAGATTGATTAGGGGTTACGTAATACGTAAGCAAAACGGAATGCAACTTCCCTATTCTATGTATTCGCAAAGAATACGACCAGAACCTATTCTGATTTTCTTCATCTCAATCTCTTCAAAGAATAAATCACACCCATTTACCAATGATAGTTTTAGTGATGCACCCCAGTCGATGTCTGACGCGACGGTGCCGCAATGGTTCAAATTCGTTCGTTTCAGCCTATACGGTTCACCAAATGATTTATGAACATGAGCAAATAATTTAAAATAAGGCTAAACCTCATAAATAAAGCTTCATACTCACTGCCGCATTGGAACTATCACAATAAACATACATGGAGCACATATTACATGTCGTAACACATTCGTTGGTATAGTGATATAATGCAGTATTGCAGACGACCGATCGCATTACAGAAATAAGATACAAATAGAGAAAAACCTAAATAAACCTGGGCCAGTAACCTGAATATTATGCTTGGTTGTGCATTCATGCAATTCACAGATAACTGGAAACCAGCGAACGAAACTGAAGGAGAGTTGCATACATTTCTACAATTTCAATATAATGTACCTACCTGCAGGCGCCTAGGCGTTTCTACATAGCTGGCAATATTAATTAAGTTCATTTTAAGCGCTATTATCTTACAAGATGTTGATTAGTAACGATAACAATTATAGGTATGTTAAAATCGGACACACATGTCCAGGAGATTGTTTTCAACTCAACGTAAGATGTCTTACATAAATCCAATTTATTACTTCAAACTTTGGACTGTATGTCCGACCTCACCCACTAACAATCGATGAAAGTATAATTTTGGGCGATTATTGAACTGCTAACCAGACATACCAAGGTCTCGATAACTATTATCGAGTGGTTAGAAAAAGAATTTTTCATAATCGAATTTAGCAACCTCATGTTTTGGCGCCATTGTAAAATTATTGCAGCAAGACCTATTGGTTGGATATTGCGTGTAGATTGAGCTAGGTCAGCGAGCTGTAGTAACATACGCTGTTATATAACCCTAAGTACTTAAAACTACTATCGCCACAAATCTAAACCACATAGACTTCGCTGTAAGTCTGCTATGCAACTGAAATAGAGATTGCATCGTCTACTACCCAAGCACTTATAATTGCCACAAATAATGGTAATAATGATAGATTGTAGGTACATAGCACATTCTTCATTTTCAGTTTTATTACATTACCGACCATATGATAAAAAATCACATGGATGTCCGTAGTAAATAGGGACCTTAAAGGGTCCCAAGTACTTAAACAGCGAGACGACGCCGCGACGCCTGGAGACGCATGATACGTAGGGCCGACCCCAAATAAAATGGGCATGGGACAGGCAAAGAAGAAGACCGACCATTTATGATAACAAAAGAAAACCACGCACTAAGTACATCGAATTTTAATCTGACACATTAGATCCTGATAGGATATAAGGGATAAGAGACGAAACAGGCCCTTGCAGACCTACAAGTTAATGTTTTTTGGTTTAACTTAAGATCATTCAAAACTTGACAATCCCTTAGGGCTTTGTCCGTAACACATTTTACAATCATAATCACACATTTCTGTGTCAAGGTAGCGAGCATCAGTTTGGATGGTTCA